AATTCAATGTACTTAACTTAATGGTATAAGTAATTAAACTCTTATGAATCAAATTTTAGTTTTTTTTTTTTTCAGCAACTTTAGAAATTATTAAATTATTATATTCGTCTGTCTTAACTTATACTTTCACTTTGTGTTTGCTTACACTTAATTTCTTCTTTGTTATAATTTGATTCTTTGAAAATTTTTTACTGATTTAACACTCTTTACTCAACAACTAGTTAATTATTTTCATATAATGACGAAATAACATACTCTGTTGTTGATCTGTAACTTGATACACCCTGTGATCATCGTTGTCGTGTTGAAGCACGTTCCAGTCACACGCTCTTTTATTGAAAGATTCCGCGCTCTTCGCTCTTCGCCTCTTTGATCTGCAACTTCTTATTTCATCACGAAGTGAAAATTTTGCGCTATCCAGCCTTTGCTACGCAGAATTTAAAACATCGCCTTCTCGCTTGCGCTTATCGACCACTGTCACGCAATACACGACTGTTTGTCTCGCTCTTACTAGAGCTCTCTAGGCATACTTCGCCGCTGTCGCCATTAATCCTAGACGATTCTTGACTTTTTCCATTTTTTCCAGGGCATACGAATTTTAATGAATTTTCATGCACCCGCTTCGTTTTATGCTCCGATTAATAGTCTTGCATACGTTTGTACTCGTTAATCAATTTACGAATTTCACAATTTCTGTCTATCCCACTTCTGACACCAAATTTGTAGGGATGACCATTTGATGGCCTTCACAAGCACTTGAGTTCTTTATGTTCATATTATTTTATTTAGAGAAATTGGTGAACAAGCGTAAACTTATGATTATTGTACATTTTCCGACATGTATTTCAAAGACAACGAGCAACAGCGAACACATCTTTTCATTGACTCTTCTAGCTTACAACTGAGCTTCTCCTTCTTGTATTTTTATCGATAAATCTATCGTTGATTAAATATCCATAGCAGGGTTGCATATGATAAGTGATTTTATATTACCAAATGAGTATAATGCCAACATTATACTCGCCTGTTTAATTTAACTGATTGTAAGTTCGACCACTCCTAGTTCTGTTTCCAACTCCTACATATATATATATATATATAAGTACATATATCTTCGGCGTTGTCGTTGCGTATTGGTACGTGCCGAATGGCAACTGAAAACTTTTTTAATTTAAAAAAATTTTTGTTGTTCTCCTCGTGCCAAGCAGAGTAGACGTTGTCGATGAGGGTTCGAAGCATGCGTTGCATTTGATACGTCCACATTCTACTCAAAGTCGCAGTCCAAAGAACAAAACAAGAAAAATATAATGTTAACTAGAGGAGTCAGGGGAATATTCACGTATAAGATACCCTGTATTTTACCACAGAGTACTCGAAAATGTGGATAAAAAGGATTTAGAAACTGGCAATATTGCTATATTTCCTTTTCTGTTCCTTAACATTTGCTCTTCTCCTTCTTTTTAAAGGACACTTTAAATATATATCTGATATTTTCACTAATATATTCACATTTGTAAATGTGGTAGTATCGTATACTTAATCTTGTATATTTTTTAAGGTTAAACTCTGACCATCAGCTTTCTGACCATTTTTCTTTCTGGCCAATCAATCCCGAACATGGCAGTACCACACTTTTCAATTGAGCGCTTAGCTCTTCCAAAGTATACCCAATTTACTCACTTTTAAATGTAGGGTACTCAAAAAAAGTCCAAGGCTTGTGCTAAAAATATTCGCTGCCGCGAGCGGTAAAGTTAATTTACAAACGAAACATTGGAATTGGTCCCGGACAGCAACCACAACGACGACTATGGCATAATAAATGCTAGCAAAACTCTGCCTCAAATTCGGGATGCTGCCCAACTCTGGCTCTTTATCATATTTGACCTTGCACACACACACACACACGCACGCACACACACATTGAATGTGCGCGTATTGCATAGTGTCGAAATGTTATTGAAAGGAGCTGCTCATATTTCAAAGGGACAATCACGCGTATGACAGCCGCGGGCTGTCAATGGTCTGCCATGGGTATCATTGGTGATAGCATTGCTATCATGACTGTTGGTCCTGCAGCTACTGCGGCTGCTGCTACAGGCGCTTCTGGCGTTTTTATTATTATAAGCCATGCTGTGCATATTATATTACCACACAAAAACTGTTAGCACATGCTTCCAGCTACCCCGAGCGCGTACCGAGACGTGGAGAAGGGTCTGCAGTCGAGCCGAGACGGTGCCTTGGTCTGTGGCCCAATTGTCACTTATAAATTGCCATTTAAAATGTTTGCTTTTGGTTGCAGAATATTGGGCATGGCTACAGCTACAGGCTGAACTAGTCTGCGAAATCTGAATCTTTTTCAGGCCATCAGAGGGTATGGGTTAAGGGCAACCGAAGTATATCAAGTAACAATTGGATTGACATCTTATAAAAAAATGTGCAGAATCCTCATCATAAAGGATAATATTTTAAAGAATAAAATACTTTAAAAAATCCAAGAATTAAAACACCGATAGGGATGAGAAAAGTGTCAAAGTATGGCATAAACTTTGAAATGTTCTAGTCAACAGTAGTTATACGAAAAATATATTTTAATGCTAAGCGCTTGTGTCATCTAAGTGAATATTAAAGACTTAAAAGTTGTTCAAGTACATAATAATTTGTGGAATAGTAAAAGATAAGAAATATGCGTGCTGTGCTGTACTAGCGGAGAGCCTTTTAGTCACACCACCACAAATCGATTGGACTGGACCGGCGACCGCATTGCGTTGCCAATCTGACTTGGTTTACGAGGTGCACCTGCCTGGAAAGCGCACGAAGAGGACGGTTCACGTTAACCGCATGCCCCTTACCAAAGACAAATCACGAGTGTACGAATGACTCTCAAAGGGGGGCAATGTAAGACTGAAAAAAAGGGCAGCCGGCATCGTCCCTGTCGACTGTTTCTACCTTGACGCTACCTCCATTCGAATAGTTCAATAAATATGCTTTCTTCTATCTGTTATAATTCATACATTTGCAAAATAAAAATAGCCTTTTAGATATAAAAAATAAGAATACGATTAAATTAAAAAAAAAATGTTTTATATTTACATTGTTTGATAAATTAATGAAATATTTACTAATCGAGCTCATATTTAATGTATGTGTATAGACGAATGGTCCAGATGATTAAGTTACCGCCTTATTATTTTTAAACAATTGAAGTTACATATACAAATTTATGAACAAATATTGCTGGGACGTACGCATAGCAATATAGTTTATAAAAAATGCGTTTCGTGCACGTGACTTTAGCACTTCAATTATTTATAATTGCATAATATTTACTTTGTTAAATGCGACAGTCGGTTTATGCTGTTGTTAATTTTAATTGAAACTTTTAATTGCATTTAAATCAAACAAAAATACACTCCCACAGAAAGACTCACACACACACACACACACAGACAGACTGCATATTGCGGTGGCTTTTGCATAATGCTGAGAAAGTTATGCAAAAAGCCAAAAACCCTTTTTAATTCGCTTCGGAACAGTGCGGGGCAATTAAGAGTGTTATAAAAAGTCAACTTTTGTATACAAGCGACTTATGCATTACAATTTGTGCAATTTTATTTAGACAATTCGCCCACATGAACACACGTGGGCAACTGCCGGCAGTTTTGTTTTGTTTTAATTTTACTTATTATGCAACAATTTGCTGGGAATGGCAAATGCGGCATAATGAAACAATATTTACCTTCGTTAGCACTCAAAGATAGTTTTCAATTTACTTTTTATGCAGCTGCCGTTGCAGTCAACGAACCGTATGCCCAGCCAAAATGTACAACTTAAACTTAAATTTTAACAAAATTTACGCAGCTTCTTTAGATGGAGTAGACGAAGGAGGCGAAGAAGCGGATGCTTGGCAATGGAAGAAACGTCGACAAGTCGTTGCAAAAATATGACCAAAACTATATGCAAATGATGCTGCTGCCAGCCAGTCAGGCAAGAAGCAGCCACTCAACTTGCCAGTCAAATTTCCTTAACAAGCTTTTGGCCTAATCAAATAGCATCGCCCCAAAAACCAGAAACCCTTTGGCGACTGCTCGACCCCAAAAAACCGAAAACCGAGAACCGAAAACCGTCTTGTAACGCCGCTTGACAGGCAATTGTCTTATGTGGTATGCTAATTTTTTATGTGGCTCTTTCCATCTTTATGGCCTCTATGCACTTTTGTATGCGTACGTGGGTGTGTGTATGTGTGGTGCGATTGTATATGTATGTATGCATTGCCTTTTGCTTTTGTGTGCTGCGAGCCGGCAAAATTGCTGAAAATTAAAACTATAAACTATCTCTTTTTGAAGCCCTGTGGGCAATGTCGTTGGGTTATTGCCTTCATAATGGAGTTGCATACAATATGTACCTAAAAGTGAGTATTTATTGGAATACACATAATATACATACATATACACACACATAGGAGTACATGTATTGGTATGCTTTGGCTTTGGAAGTTGGGTTAAACAGTTGGAAGTTGTGAAAGTATTGTTGCAGAACCAAATTGTTAGCAGTAAATATGTGTTCAAAAATTTGTTTGAATCATATTTTAATATATTTTATGAAAAGTTTTCATAAACTTTAAAGATCAACATTTTTTACATTTATTGAGAGAAGCTAGCTGCTAATAATATTTGGATATTTTTTATTATACTTAAACCAATTACAAGAGCAAAACTTTTTGCTTATCAAATCTTCTTTGAATAATCATTCGAATGTGTGAAAATTCTGGAAAAGGGTTACATAACGCATCTTTTGTTTAATTATTATTTATTTATTTATTCATTATTTATTTGTGCACATTAAATTCACATATGGTTCTCATATATTTAAGAAGATTTAATCACCTGGATGGAAGATGAATGTGAAAGCTTGTATGAACAATAGTTAAAGTTTCCTTCTAAAAATTGACAATTTATATAAGATTTCAATAACCTAGCTTTTAAATAAGTATGCAGCAGGAATTTCGAGAAACTCGTTTTTTATGTTAATCTTTTAATGTTAGGTAAGAAACCTGCAATTGTATTTGTTCCACTGTAACCACAGTAATATTTGGCCATATTGAAAATATGTACACTGAAATATTTTGCATGTGTCGTTTTCAATATTATTTTCATCGTATTTGACAAGTACGCACAACGTATAAAACCCGAAAAAGTTGTATGTCAAATTTTGTCTACAGATCGCTGACTTCCAAAATGTCCAGGGGGGGAGTTTTAGCTTCAGCTCGCACATACATTCCAAATTACGTATTGCCTTGTAAAGCAAAAGTTTTTCATAACTTTTCATAAGTTACGCTTATTTATACGAGACCACAATTTTGTACTTTGCATTTTCTTTATTTTCAACATTTCTGCACTCTGCTCAATGCTTCGCTCCTTGGCGTGCACATCATCCTTTCATTCAGTTTTATTTCTTTTATTTTACTTTTCATTTTATTTTTTTTTTCCTCTAGTTTTGCTGGCGAGGAAATTGAAACTTTGCTACTATTTTGCATAATTTTCGTATGGCAGAGCAAAAAGGAGACAGCAATCCTTAAGCAGAAGCATTCATATGCCACTGCCGCTGCCACAGCCACAGCCACTGCCACTGCCACAGCCACTGCCACTGCCACGAAGTGCATACAATTGAAGTTGAGGCAGACAAGAAGAATGTCGACGCCTTGCCAAAAGGAAATGTCGCTGCGGTTGTGGGGCAAAGCCAACTAAATTTAGTATTTACTTACCACATCCTTTACAGCTTGAGCTCGGCTCGGCTTCTCTTGGCTCGCATTGGCATGTCTAGGCCCGATTGCTGCCGGCATTTGCATATGTACAATATGCCAAGTGTATCCATCAGTTTATTTTGTCAGCTCGCCCATGTATATTGTGGGCTGCAGCAACAACCTTGTCAACCTGGTTAAAAGAAAACATTTCCGCTTACAGTCAACTGATTTTTCCTAGTTCATTCACCTTGCCAAATTTTCTCCACAAGCTGAATCCACGATGCCTAGTGTAATCCCATTAGCAGCTGCTCTTGGCGCCTGTTTTAAGTAGCTTCGTCGTTTGTATACATAATGGGGAAGAAGGGTAGTAAGACATTTGCAGATCTTGCGGTCTGCTGAAAATGCATCGGCTGACTGCCTGCCAAAAATGCACTCGCTCAGATGAGTAACTGGCTGAAGGCAAGCTGTGAAGATAGATGCCCTGGCAGCAAAGTCACAAAAAATTGGACGTGAATTAATTACAAGCTTATGTTATATGTTTATATAGAACATCTGCTTACAAATCAGTGCTCATAAGTCAATATGCCAAATGCCAGAAATGCTAGAAATGCCCAAAAGCCGAATTGTCCGACAGTCGCCAGTCGGCGATAAAGTATTTATAGAGTCCTTTTTCTAGCTGGGGTCTGGGCCACCCGTCGAGTGATGTGCTCTGGAATTAATTGAAAGGCTTTTGCTTTGGCTCCCAGTGATAAATTAATGTGTCGATTGTGTGTCGAGGATTAAAAGTAACTCGGTTATGTATGTGATTTTTATATCGTTGTTGGGCCTCAGCTTAACTGGTCTGCCCTTCATTGTTCATTGTTTTTGTTTCGGGTCTTGTTGGATTATGCACATGTTTACAAGGTTTTAGTTATTTATGATTTTTTGGAATTTGTTTTTTGTGTTTGCTTGTTTCGTAGTTTTTTTCCAAGGGGAAGGGCGGCGCGGCGTGGGGTGCTTGTTTTGGCAGGTTTATAAGTTATGCAGTTTGCTGAATTATTAATAAATAAATTGTTGTTTGCCTTCTTGTGGCAGCGCTGACATGGGACCAAGGACTATGTGCCACGTGCCGCGTGAGTGCCTCAGCAAGACATAAATTGCTACTAAGTAGTGTTGGAAAACTGTCGAATGTGAGATATACTATCGATACTATCGCTGGTTGGAAAATGGTTTAGGAATTTAAGTTTGTTGTTTGAAAATATAAATTCCGAATAAGCTGGAACTAATTATAATTATTACGTATTTTAATAACGTAATTTATTCAGACAAATTTAAAGAAAAATCAAATGAAAAAATGATTTAACAGCTGGCAACTTTTGAAATTCAGTTATAAATAGAATATACTCTTCAAAGATTTTCAAGATAATTTATAAAATTTTAAGTGCTCTAAAAAAAATTTCATAGTTTGAATTACTTAGCATCGACTTTGATGTACTTATGTAAATATTTAATATACGTATTTTCGTATTTTTTGTATTTAGTCCTACACCACTTTTTGTATGCACATGCCAGAGGCGACTAATCACATTTCTAAAGTGCCAGCCTGATAACATTTTTTGTTGTGTTTGCTTAGGACAAATTAAATAATTGGCATGACAATGAACATGACAATGCAATAGACAGACATACCTACGCATAGTTGGAGGCGTAACACAAGCAACAAACAAAAGCAAAATCCAATGTGTACGCAGTTCGTACAACTCTGGGACAGACCTCAAAGCCGCCCCCAATGCTCGAACAGCAACCGACAACAATTTCATTAGAACTGAAGCCTTATGTCCTGTCCGAGTCGGGGTTCCAGCTATTGTCCTTGTCATCGACATGGTTGTTCTCATCGAAAGGCATTACAAACAAAACTACTTAAATTACCACGATTACATGTTATCGTAAATTAATTGTCCGACATTTTGTTTTACTAACAACATTCTAAAGAGATGCGCTAAAGCTAGCAAATATGTACTGTGTATATGTATGGATGTGTGTATATGACTTGACGTCAGTGTCACATACAAAGAGCTTTGTTGTGGCATCTTGCTACTTGTGTATCTCTATTTCGATATACGCAGAATCTGTTATATCTATCCAAAGTCGGGCTTTTTGCTTGTCTGTCAGTGGTTAACATTATAGAAGCCTGCTGGTTTGTAGCTTTGTTTATTCGTGTGGTAATAGATTAGAAGAGACTACAAGAATAGTAAAGTCCAAAGGATTATGAACGCGTGTCAGTGATATTTCGCTTATTAAAAGATGGTGTTAGTTACAGAATCAACAGCCAGCCAAGTCGATATACTTACATCTGTCTATTCGCCGTCTGTTTCTACTTAAACTAGTCTCTGAATCTTATTTATTATCATGACACTATGCATAGGTACGTATATAAATCGTATAAGTCGTATTAAAGCGGTCAGCCATGTTGTATGGTATATTTAAAAAAAAAAAAACGGTAGAGAACAAAGCGTTCGTATGAAAATACTTCTGTTTATATGAGTGTACAAGGGTATTTAAGCTTCAGCCTGCCGAAGATAGTCATTGTTTCTTGATTTTCTCTTCTGACTTTGGGTAAATTGACTGAATTTTGAATATTTGTGAGTTGACGATAGCCATAAATAAACTTGTCAATAAATGAATTTCAGGTGAAAGTGTTTGGTTTTTCAAGAAAATAATTATTAATATATAACAAATTTTGTAGACAGATGCATTAAACAATTGGTAAATGCATTCGTATGATTTCCAAATTTACCACAAATATTCGAAAGGATGCCATGCACAATTGGGCCGAACAGTTTTCGGTTCTAATTGACAGGCGTGTCAAGCCAAACTAATTAAAATTTTATGCTAAAGTAGCGCCACAAAGTATGCAGCACATTTTCAACACTCTTTGTTTTGTGTCTGTGTGTATAGGTGTGTGTGTGTTTTAGCCTAGGCAAATGGGCGACAGCGTTGCCTCTCCCGGCTCGCTTAATGCATAATTACACACACAATTTTCATTAAATAAACGTGCAACGCCGCCAAATGTTTGCCGGTAGCAGGTGGCAGCTCACGTTACAGCCTGAGCATGAGCATGAGCATTCTTGCAACACCGCATCCCTTGTTGCATGCAACCTGTGCATCTGTGCAGCGCCGCATTCCGACGCTGTTAAGTGCGTTTGATTTGCCGCTCGAGTTAATTTCCACATGCCGCACTTGTTTATAAGTTCTCTAATTAATTTTTAAGTGCCACTGCTAACTGCCTGGAGAACAAGCACAAGCTAACAGCAATACGCACGTCTGTGTTAGTTAGTGTGCCTGTGTGTGTGTGTGCGTATGTGTGTTTTGTTTGAGAAACACTCTCGAAGTTCCAAGGTTCTATGGCAGTCAGCTGTGGCTAAATGCTAAAAAATTATGTACATGTGATTTGCTGGCCATAATGAAATTAGACGGTCTTGTTGTTATTGCAGCTGTTATACCCTCTGAGAAATGGTAAAAAGTGTATAACGGTTTTATGCCCATGTAACAAATGTCACATGCAGATAACAGCATCATTGACCCCATCAAAAATATGTATATTATTCAATTCGATCAAGTGTATCGATCTCAGATACTAAAACAATTCTATATTTTCATGTATTAGACTAAGTTGAATGAATATATTCTAATTGAACATCAATTTTGTAACCATTTTAGCTTAGAGAATATAAAAACTAAGAACACAAGGGTATATAGGGTATCTTTTACTGGGGCACGCCCGAATAGAGCATTGTTACTTGTTGTAGTTGTTATTGCCTTGCGGCTGTGGCTGCACTGAACGCTTATTTAAGTGGGTGAGCCCGACCGACGGACCGAGCTCAAGATTTGCATTATGTGACTTTGTGTGTGTGTGTGTGGGTATGTGTGTGTTAGTGGACCTGTTCGCATTATGGTCTGCTGCATAATGTGTGCGGACTTTAATGGAAATTTATGAACACGAAATGCTCAAATTACTTACCCAATGCTATTTATTAGTTGCTCTGTATGTAAATAGTCTCTATATTTATGCATTGTTGTTGGAAGCCAACACAAATTGTATGAACAGTGTTTAGTTTATGTTTGCATTGTACTAAAACAACATTACGAATTTCTATTAATTGACTAATTAAAATGCTCAAAAAGTGCCATTGTTAAGAGATAATGGTTAATGCAAATACTTAATAGTACAACTGAACAGATTATTCTTTACAATATATTAATTTATAATAAACAAACAGTACGATTTAGTATAAGCTTTTTATACTATTGTATATTGTTTCATGGATTTCCATAAAACGAATTATAACCTGCCATCATATCGTATAGCATCGAAGTTGTGTACACTGGCTCTTCATTCTAAAGGAGTTCAGGAAGTCCCTTTTTACAGAGTGTCTGAGAATTTACTATATTCATCAAAACATGTTCCATATGTTGCGGTTTCTGTGTCTACTGCAGAAACTTTACGAATCTCTGATTAACATTGTGTACGAAATCACTTAAGCATTTTTGTATGAATAATAAGTATTTCAATCATAAATAAAAATCCAATTAAACAAAAAACTAAGATTTCAATTGTGGTCCTGACAACAACTAAAGACGACGAGAACCAAATGCATATTTACCTGATGTACAAATATATTGTACAAGATAATGTCTGATGTTGTTGTAGTTGCTTATCGTGATTTTTGTGCGGGCCAATGTACTGTAGTTGCGTTACGCCCTCGGCATTTGGTTTGTTGTTGTTTTTGTTATTAAGAACTAATCTACTTGTAAAATCTTAATTAAAGTTATTATAAATATGTATGAAAAGAGGCGGCAGCTGAAGCAGTCGTAATAGCAACAGTGATGCCTGACATGCACCCAACATACCACACACACTCGTACATACACACACACTCACAGGCTTATACTCTGTAATATTTGTTGTACATTTGTCTGGCTGTCTCGATGTCGGTTTGTTTGTTTGTTTGCCTTCCTTTTTTTTTGCCCTGTACGCCCTTGGCTCTACTTTTCCGTCGTTAAATTGCGCAGCTGTTTGCACTTCACTTTATACATGTGTGTATGTACATGTTGTACTCCCCAACTCCACGCCCCCTTACCCACATTCTGTGGCAGCAACAGAAAAAGAAGGCATGTGGGTGGCCAAGTGTACAGCAAGTGGCACCAAAAGTATTTGCGCTTTATTATGACAACTGACATTAGTTTGTTTGATATTTGTGTTGGCTGCTTGGCCGGAGTCACATGCGTGTCCCAGTTCCCCAGTTTGATAAGATTTAATTGAGTTGACATTGGTGTGGGTGGCTGTGGGTAGTGGGTGGCTCGTGCTGAGCTCAGCCTGCGGGCATTTGTGGGAAAAGTCAAGTGTACAGCTGCTCTTTGCATCAGTTTTGTTTCTTTTGTTTGTATGTCTGTCTGTTTGTCTGCCACACGCTCAGTTTTCAATGATGAGTTGTTGCGCCTTTTGAAGTTGTTAACCTTTCCCGGGGTAATGCTGGGGTTAAGGTTAATGGCTGTTAATGCGACTTAATCAACCCAAAACGCACAACTAATCAACTCCAGAGTTGCCAGGCACCAAACCCTCATATAATTCCAGCAACCGAGGAAACGGAATCTGTCGCTTTGCATGCGAATTGAAAAAGTTTTGCGCGCAAATTTTTAATGAAATAAATTAAAAAAGCTGTCAGCTGACTGTAAGTTTATATTAGAGCTGATAAAAAAACGGCAGAAGCAGCTCTTAAGCAGCAGCAGGATCAGCTCTGCGAAATATGCTTAAGTGTTGAGTTACGCTAAATGGATTTTCAACTTGAGCGCGACTTCAACTAAAAAAAAGAGTCAACTACTTCCAACTAAACTGTCATGAGTGAAAAAACATTAAGAAATTCAAATAAGCAAACTGGAGACGCCATGAAATTCGATTAGCAACATGCCATTAAAACGACTGGGTGGGGTCGGGCACGGGCCCCATTCAAGCTACAGCTAAGCATTTTAAAATTTATAAGATGCCAAAAAGTTTATCCGT